TTCACCTGTATTTCCCTTGGGTCTGTTTGGATTTATCCCTAGTGCTCAGATCAACAGGAATAATACAAAAAAAAAAAAGTAAAAGCAGGCTTCTTGAATCATACTGCTGCCCCTGCCTACACTTGGGCCAAATTCTGCAGTAGTCTGTACTTGCACAGTGGCTGGCACTTACTCAGACAAGCCATCCCAGGATCACTGGCCTGAGTTCATGTAACTTAGTGTGGCCCTGCAAGGGGCAGCATGCACAAGAGAGGCCTGGTAAGTCTTCCCAGTTGGCTGGGATGTTCCTGGCTTCAGCCACATTCTGCACCACTCCAGGCTAGTGGCTGAAATCTCCTGATGTGGAGAGTGGATGAGACACTCTCTATAGTTAGGGCTGTTCTAGGAAGTCTTTGCTTGGGAGTCCTCAGTCTAACTATAGAGAGATCTGGTTGGGATGACAATAACCATAAAAAACACAATCCTCCAAACCCCATCCCATGGCCACAATACTCATTGTGGCAGAATTCTAGCCACCTCTCCCTGGCCACAAGGGAATGAGCCAGGGGGCAGGCAGAACCAGGGCTGGAGGCCTAGTGAGCAAGGGGCAGGAAGAGCTCAGCATTCAGACAGGAAACAGCAAGTCCAGACAGAACATCAACAGCTGATAGCAGGAGTCAGACAGATCCCTAGCTCAGGGCAAGCAGCAGCCAGTACCAGGGGCAGCAACTCAACCACATACCACCACCACTTCAGGACAAGGAGAATTCAGGGGCAAACTATCTCAAGGAGCATCCAGGGACTCCAACCCAGGGAGATGCCAGAGCCAGCCAGGAGCACAGCGATTCCAGTGTTCTTAAAGCTTGTTCCATGCTGCAGTCATGCCAGACTTTCTTAAGGTCTCCCTCCTCAAACTTCAGCTCTGACCTCAACATGCGAATGGAATCTTAAGTACTACACTGTTAGCTGTTAAGCTGACACCCCGTCATTAACTCACATATAGAGGGGCAGACTACTGTGCCAGCAGCTGTAGCACTGCTCTCACAAAGGTTTGTGGTATCAGGAGGGAACAATGCTGACAAGATTCTACCAAATACGTAGTTACCACCTCCCCCATATTAAAAAAAAAAAAGTAGAAATGGTTAGTCTCCTGCTCAGCAGAATTCATGAAGGTATCAATATGTCTTTAGCCACTACAGCTGTACTACCCTGCTAAAGTGCACACAACTACCAGCTGAGCCTGGTGTTATTACCCTCATTGCCCGTTTGATGATAGTGGGTAAAATGCTGGACTGAAGTTGAGTAATCCCAGGGAAATGTTCCAAAGTATCTGTCTAAAAATTGCTCAGACACCATAGTACCTGGAGGATTTCCCTTTGTTGCCCATCAGCCGGGCCTTGCTGAAAGGACTGAGAGCTCATGAAACAAGAAGATACCAAATCAAATACAAGAATTCAGCTCTTCCATCACAGAAGGCCTTATTTAGAACTGGTGGGGGATGGGTATCTCTGACACTTTATATGCTAATGTACTTTAGGCTGCTCACTATCTTCCCCTTTTGCTTTTTGCCTCCCAGATACCCAAATCCATGGGAATAGTGGGGAATAGAATATGGAGGGTTCTTCACTGCTTCAGTTAGCTGCTTCAGTTAGTCCCAGATTCTGGAGGTCAACCCTCTCTTCTGAAGCACAGTGCAGATAGGCCCTGGGTAACAGGAAGGATCAAACAATACTTCCTTTAATGATCCTTACAAATCATAAAAACTAACCCCACAGTGGTAAGAATTAAGGGTCTTTCCCCACTCTGTAAACATGAGTTTACTTCTCCTGTATATCTGTCCCATGTTGTTTTCATAGGTTCTCTGACAGACATTCTCACTTTATACATCTATTTATTTTTCAGAACACCACAGTAGAATTCTATGGAATATCCTAGTGGCAGGAACCAAGCTATCTACTTGTTATCCAAAGCCACTTCCATATACACTAGAGGAATCTGCTTCCTAGGGTTGCTGCTGAACTGTGGATTTAGAAAGAGCTGTCCCACATTCTTTTGCCTCTTGTGTCGTAACTGAAAATGGGCCACTTACAAGACTAATAAAGCCTTTTCCTCTGTCTAGAGAATCTTCCTTCCCTTGAGGATCTTCTAAGGCACAGTGCTTGGGCTGACAATGAGCTATATGCAGTAATCTCATTTCACAGGAAAGGAAGATGGGTACCATTTTCTGACCTCTTCAAGAGTAACTCACCTTTGAAGGAAATACTGATGACACAGGTAATAGAGCCTCTCTCCAGGAGCACAAACATAAAGCCACTCTGCTGCTCACCATAATGTTAGTATGCGGTTGTCAGAATTTCAAAGGTATAATCACAAAAGTGGAAAGCCGTTTTAATAGTACATGTATTTTCTTAAAGGCGTGAGGCATCCCCAGCTCTTTCATGCAATACCCTATGATGTGACCTACAAATACAGTATCCTGGAGAGTGCTATCTACATATATCCTCCAGCAGCCTCAAAGGATTGTTGCAATGCAGCATCTGCTTAAAAAATATTATGTCCTCTAAAGTGATGATCCATCATGTTCTCTGCTTTGGGGATAGTCAGAGTCTGCTTATTTCTGTAAAAGATGCATTTTTTGGAACTCTCTGGGGACTGGAGAAGTCTTTCAGTCCAGCCTGAGCTACAATAACATCATCAGCTTTGCCCTGGCCACACATAGTCATATCCTTTGACGGTTTAACAATCAAGGGAATGAGGGTCCCAAAGGTGTTTCTCATTTTTTGTCACAAAATAATTCAGATTCAGGCAATGAGCACCTGTCTTGCAGGATAAGATGACACATCAGCTTTAAACTGTTGGAAGATTCCTGTTGCTTCCAGTTTGTCTATTTTATTCCATAATTAGACGGAGGCCCTAATAAAGTAGGTTGGGGCAGACAGACCTTCTCCTAACTAAGTTTCATGATCTCTACTTCATCCCCATCCTTTTAGACATCACTGCTGCTTTTTCACATTGTTGACTACACTTTTCATGACATCTTCACCACTCTGAGTTCCCATGCTAACCTCTATTGATTCAGCTTCAACTCTATCTTTCTACCATTTCTATCTTGTCGCCATATAGTCCTGTATCTGGGATAACTCTTCCTGGATATCTCACCGTCAATTTCAACTTAATGTGGCCAAAAATAAACTCCTTATCTCTTCTAAACCCTCTCCACTAACCCCTTCCTCTTATAAGGTCAACATTCTCCTTCTTACTCAAGCCCACAATCTGGGGGTCATCTTTGACTCATCCTTCTCCTTGCCTCATACATCCAAGCTGTCACCAAGTCCTGCTGCTGCTTCTTACTGAACACCTTGAAGAACTGACCTATTCTATCTATCCCCACAAGAAAACCTCTCATTCACACTGACAACAAGCCTATAAGAAGCAATTTGGAAATACTTATCCTATTTAATACCTATGCATTTCTGTTAACATAACTGCATATATGTTTTGCTGCTGCTCCCTACCCCCCATCTTTTTGTCTGTCTTTAGGTTGCGAGATCATTAGGGAAAGGGATTGTACCTTTTTCTTTGTTTGGAAAATGCCTAGCACATGACAGGTGCTATTGGAAATAAATAAAGATTACATTTTACCTTGAGAAGGTTAAAGAGGTCAGTCAATTTCGTTAGTTTGGGGTCCCTACAGTGACAGATGATAGAAAATTTCCCCAGATCAATCCAATTGCAATATAATAACTACTGTAACAGAGCTGAGATCCCAGCATGCAGCCTGCTAATTGTCTTCAGGGAATGCCAACATATACACCCTTATGTGGTGAGCCAGCTCTGCTCTCTCGTGTGGAGACATATAGGGTTGTAGTTCCAGTTCTCTCTGTCCCCTCTGCAATGGGTAGTGCCCCAGAAGGCAGTAGCAAGAGGCAGTCTGTGCTCTCAGCAGAGTGCAGGCACTCGGACAATGTTTGGTCCATGAACAGAGGGGAGTCATCTCGAGTCATCCCGCTTCCTTTTGCACCTGGGCTGGCCCAATTCACAATGTCTTCCAATATATGACGTTCTTAATAAAAGAGGTAAGCGTGAGTTATAAATATATTTCTGTCTTATCTTAGAGTCCCTCTAACTTTTTTCCGAAACATACTGGGTCCTAACAAGCACACATTAGTCAAAGCTCCCACTGAAATCAGTAGGAATTTTACTCACGAGGACAAAATTCGACCCAGTATGAAACTGAACGATGAAAGCAAAAACACAGTAAGTGACTTGGAGGACAATGGATTGCTTTGCATGAAACCGATGAATTACAAAAACTGGGCTGATGTTTTTTTACATGAAGAACAATCTTCTTGACTTGCAATCCAACAAATTTAAAAGCAGCAGAGAATCAACTGTGAAATGGTATCCTGCTTCAGACTCTTCACTCCAGTCTCTCTCTCCCCACAGGCTAGTGAAATCACACATTTTGGGAATTGCAAAAGAGAAATTCCTAATATGTCAATGCATTCTCATCATTTCATAGGGCTGCACAAATATTTCTATAGTTAAATACATGAGTAGAGAAAAATGTACAGGCCAGGTTGTGAATGCCTTACTCCCAAAAGTCAGCATTTGAGAGTACATGCATACCAATGTAAGTAAAAGGTTCACAAACTAGTCCAAAATGTATAGAATACTCTAAAATATTGAATAAGACAAATGTATATGTGCATTCCAAAATATAAAAGTGTTGTATGCAGCGTGAGGCACTGCTAGACGGTATCACGCTTACACAGATTACCATGAAATGTACACACTGTCAAAGTCTGGAGATCACTCAAGAGACAGATTTTACCTGACTGACAAATACAAGCTGATACTTTCCAAAGGGTAATTTCCTTTAATTAGCTGTTTTCATGTAAGCAATGTCTTTCTTTGGGTGGGGATGGCAATTTGTGCTGAGCTTTTCACTAAGTGGTTTTGAAACACAAAACTAAAACCTGTTTTGGCTTTATGATTTGCTTTCCCCTTTTTTTTAAAAAAAACTATGCAAGAATTTATTCATACATTTTTTACAGTAAGAATTCTAGGATGCAAACAGAAACACAACAATACACTAGTTGATTATCTTCAAGAAGAGGTTACTTTGAGTCTGACAAAATTTTGGTCAATCTAAAACATTCACTATAGAAAAAATATTGTGGCAGATAATCTGTCACCTGCTTTTTTAGGTATGACGAAAAGTAAAGGCAAAAAGAGAGGAAAAAAAGAGGGATGGCAGATACACTGAGAATCTGCAATACAGATAATCATACCCTTTATTGGCTAAGTTACATTAGACTGCAACACTGTAAAAACCTGTTAAGGAGAGGAAACAGTAGATTGGTAGAGGTAGTAGAAAGTCTGTAACAGTCAGAAGATGGCTTACAGGAGTGTGTCATGCTAAAAATTCATCATGCTGTTTAAAAAAGCTGATCAAAACCAATTAACTAAATAAATAAAGAACACAAAACATTTTAAATACTATGGTCTAACTGAATTAAAAAAATCAATACAATACAATGATAAAGAAAGAACAAGAAAGCCTATGATTCACATCTGAAAGTGGCTGGTCTTTGAGGTTGGCTTTCCCTCACCAACTCCTCCCATTTCCTGTTTAATTTAGTGAAAATCTCATTTCTGTGCTATACACAGCATATAATTATTTAAACTGATTTCCCTTACTGTTGTTCTTCATGTAGCTAAATTATGATTGTAACTTTGCTGATTAGTACCCCGGTAATGGCAGTGACAGCACTATCCTCATCTCTGTCAGGTATTCTGGAAAAAAGGTTCCAGAAAGCAACATTTGCTCTAAATATTAACTATGATTTTCCGTATCAGCTTGCAAAACAGGAAAAAAAATTTAAAAAAATTACAAATGTACACTACACTTTTGTGCCATTTTGGGTACAGAAGAGATTTTAATAACTAAAACACAAACAAATAAGATAAGCAACTAGCTTTCGTGCATTCCTGAACTGTCATCATTACTTTTATCCAAGAAAAAAATGACTCAGAAAGCAACCAAAAAAGCTAGTGCAAACCCCAAAATGATGATCAGTCATTAATCCACACAGCAATTTTTTGTGTATGTGTCTGTGTGCGTGTACACAGTGGAATGTGTCTGGCGACTTCCCTCAAAATAACTTTACAAAACAGTCAATGACAGTCACTTATAAGTATTTGCACAGACATTCCTAACTACACCAGGACTACAGAGAATTCTGCTATACATCTGGTGTAAAAGTATGAGGAAAAATTAGTAAAAAAAAATTACATAAAGTTATATTTGCATTTTTGCAAGTGTTGCAAAGTAACAAGAACTGTCAAGTAATTCACAAGTAACAAGTAATAGCCAGAACCAATTATTGACTAGGTTTGAAACCAAACCAAAAAAAAAAAAATAAAACCTACAAAAAAACAAGCAAACAAAAAAAATGGTTAGAACAGAAAAATCACGCTTTATGTTTTTTGTTTTTTTTTTAAACAAATCTTTGTGTCAGAAGCCCATTTACTACAAAAACAGCACTATTCCATTATTGTATTAAGTAAACTGTTGCTCTCGCCGGTATTAAAGGTTAGCATCATTTCTGTACATGTAAAATTATTGCTTTTTTTGAAAAATATAATTAGCATGCGAGTTTTTTAAATCCATTTCCTGCCTTTACAAAATGTTACAATTAAAAAAAAACACCTAGTAAAGCTTTTGCAAAAAATTTCACAGAACATTTTCTTTCAAGGCAGCAGTAACTTTTGATAATGCATAAAATTATATGTGCAAAATCTGAAACTCTCAGAAATATTACCATCACACATAGTGTCACAGCAATGAGAAAAGAAAATATTTATATCTGTGGAATACATTTTGTTAATTGCTTACACTGCATGGTTTACCAACCTATGTGCCACAACCTCCACCTTGAAAACTTGCATTTAAAAGAGTTACTGTAGAAGAGGTATATAAAGCTCTTTTTTTTCCTCCTAACACCACCAGTGATCACCAAGTACAAGACATGACACATTATATGAACATTAACCTGCCACCACAAAAGAAGTTACTCATCTTTTCAAAATGTCACCAAGCCCAGAAAGGAAGGGTAACAGGCTTGCTGAACAAAAATACAGGAGCGTACAGTACCCTAAGGGCCTAGGTCAGCCTGAACTTGTTCAGCGACTCCTTCTCTATTAAAAACGTACAGATCAGCGGCTTTAAACAGCTGAATAATTTTTTTAAACGTGCAGACTTCCTTTGTGATCAGGTCAAAGAAAGTAGCCCTGTTACAAAAAAGGTCCTGAGAGTAAAACACCAAAGCCTATTTTTCTTAGTGTTCAACCAGCTTTTTCTTTTCCAAAGCAGAATATAAGCATTTCTGTGGAAGTGTTTCAATTTCCATATTCACATACTATTAATGGTGCGCAGTCAAGAACAAGAGACTTAGAAATGCAAGTGGTCCCCAAACTGTAATGAAACAAACCATTGTAGAATGATGGTCTTCTCTTTAGTCCTTCATCAAGCATTGCTCTCCAAAGCACCAAATGCCACCTCTTTCCCCCTCCCCGTCCTCCTTTTTAAAAGTTTATTTTTCCTCATGACAAGCAGCGGCAGTTTCATTAATTAATACTTGTTCGGCCCCCAAATCCACTGCTGTTTTTCAAATGTATCAAATAGTCATTCTGAGCATCAGGGAGGTTTTTGTTATAGTACTTAAATTCTTCACGCTGTCCAAATCACATATAGTTTAATTATTCCAGTGTCTCAAACTTATCTTGATTAATATAGATGCCTTGCACTGCCACAGTGCTTGCCAACTCCACTGTTTATTATAAAGGAAATAAGGAACCATGGGACTGATTAGTACGTCAATTTATATATATCTTGTGTAGCATCTTCATTTATTTTAAAATGATTAACAGTGCAGAGGCATCTCCATTCTAGCAGAGCACTGTTTTCACTCTAGCACAGTGACTCCAGAGATTTGATGGCTTGTAGGGAAGTTTTCCAGCTGTTCTTCTGCAGGGTTGTTGGGATCATCACTTTGTGGTTGTTGGAATTGCCGATCAGGGTACTGGCTGTTGTCAAAGGGTAACCAGTGCACACACGGTACATGTGTTTTTAGGTTCCCTTTCTGAGAGGCACTGTATGGACAATATCTGCATTGGAATGGTCTCTCCCCTACAAGAAAAAAGACAGAGAAAATCTCATTCCTTCCTCTTGTTTTTTAAGTATAATCTTCCTATTAACACTACATCTCTGCTCCTATTCAGAACCATCATGCATATTTGAGCTACATTTTTTAGCATTATGCACATTAATTTTGACCTAATACATCACAAAGAGTTATTTTTTAATAATCTCCAGTGAGAGCAAAGCATGTCAGGCTCCTATAAACTGTTTGACATACTAGAATAGCAAATAATAGTGACTGAAGGAGCACTTAAGAAAAGGTTAAGAATGGCTGGGAGAGGAAGGACTCCAAAAAGCAGAATTCTGCAGTAACAAAAAAGGATTTATAACTGAACAATAGTTTTTTTTTTTAAAGGGGAATTTGAGGGCCACAGAAGGAGAGAGAAAAGACAGGCAAAACTTTAACATAGCTCTGTCCAAACCTGTGAGGGATTTTTTACCAATTTTCATAAATAATTACCATGTTGGAAAAGCAGAAAGGGATATTCTAAAAAATCAAGTGACCTGCAAGATAAAATTGGGAATAAATGGGAGCCTGCAGCTCCCAGGGTAAGCTTTAAAATGGCATTCAGAAATCACTGTATGAACAATGCAGTTTACAATCCTGATGACTAAAACAACATGGCAAGATTAATCTTACATAAATACATTAACCTTAAGCTAAAGTCCTGATGAAGTGAAACAGACCATTTTATATTAGCACGACATAAAATACGACACCCATGGAAAATCCCAGCAAGTTTCAAGCTGTGCCTATGGCAGCCTTGGAAATAGCTAAAGAAAGCCCAGCTCTGGTTGACATAATGTATTAAGTGTATCTCTTTTGTTAATAGATTTAGAAAATTCCTAATTAAAGCTGGCCCGAGATTCATGACATTTACCAGTCAAAGTTTGGGGTAAGTCAGAAAGATTTGCAACAAAATTAAAGAAAAAAAAAGCTGCTGTACAGGCTGCAGTATATTTGAAATGTAGGAAATAGTAACTGAACGAGAGATGTGATAAAACTTCCTTAGTTGGATGCTGAATTTCCTGCAGTAAACTAAGAAAGATGTTTTACATTTTTGCACGGCTACATCATGCCTGAGAGACAGAGCCACAATTCCAAGAGAAAGCACTATCATTAAAACATCTCGCACTGAACCAGCTAGAGAGACACTGGGGAACATGGGAGAGGATTCTTTGTGCTGGAAGGGAGGGACACATCTTGCCCCAGTTTCTCTGGGTAAGAACTGTAAAAAGGACCCTGGCCTGAGGATGCAATTAGGGGTAATTCTGTAGCACAGTTAAACCAATCAGTACTTGGGGAGGAAGGTTTGCCCTAAAGGTCCAGCTGCAATCCACCCACAGATAGAGTGCCACCAGTAGCACAGTCACATGAAAGGGGTTATCATCTTCCCACAAGATATAAAAGTACAGAGGGGACCAAGGGCTGAGATGGTGGGTGGGAGAGGCTGACAATTCCCTTCCAAAACAGGCCAAGTTAGAAAAATTCTCCTAATTACAGGTTTAAAGAAGACGACCACTCTTAAGGGCCAAATTTTCCTATACTGAGAGAAAATTTCAGCCTTCAGCAAATGTGAATGTAAAATGGGAGTGTACAATTTCCATCTTAAGAGAAATAGCAAAAAAGTACATGAGCAGAGATCACACAAAATGTTATTTCTTCACGGTGGGGAAAGAGACTTCAAACTTTTGCAGGCAAACGCAGTCACTCTAGACTGGAGAGAGGGAGGCACTGTCAGACCCTGTAAGCACTACAGTGTTTAGGGCACCTCAGTGCTTTTCAATCAGCTTCAGAGAATCATTTGACGACGTGCCCACAAAAATATTCGAACACAACTGCCTGCTCACCTGCATTTGCACATGCAAATTCGGTAGATGGCGGTCCACTAACTGATTTATCTGCTAAAAATTGGGAACTGTACAATTATGCAAATATGTTTTTGCAAGCAGAAAATTAAAAGCTGCTGCTAAAAATTTGGCCCTTACAGTGTGCACTGCCCCAGCTGGTGTGTGGTACACTTGGCTTTTTTTAACATATGGGGATGGAACTATTTCTTCCAAAGGAGGAACTTTGCCATTTAAAATGGTGGGTTCTTCTTTCTCTAGTGGAAAAATAACTCCTTCTAAGCAAAGGAGAAGGACGTCTTAGATAGACAAAGCATAAAGCTAACAAATCAAAACTGGTTTGCACACGAAATCTCCCTTATGAGGACTTTCACATGTTCTGCTACAAGATGATGGCACCTTGCAGGTTTTTGTACTTATATTGGGAAAAGTCAGTGTTAAATTACTGAAAAATATTGCAATACAGTGACAACTTTCAGCTTGGAAAATGTTGCCTCTTTCAGTTTGCAGATAAGTGGGAAAAAGTTGGGACAAGAGCTGCATTCACAGAAGTCATCTGTGATGTTTGTGAGCTAAAGGACATACAGTATATGCATAATACTCATATTCAAGTGCAGCAACCTACATGATTCCTGGATTATTTGCATTATAATCCACATCCATGAATGAGACAAATTAGGTTGCCATTTATTTGTTCATTATCTATTATTTTGATTAATGGAATTCTTGTTCCCAACATAACTATTTAAAAATAACATTTGCAATAACGTGAAATGAACTATTAATCATGATCTTAAAAAAAAACTCAATAAGGAACTGGGACATGACATTTCATATGTGAGCAAAATGTTATAAACAGGACTTTTAGTTGCCATTATTAAAATCTGAAATGTATAAAATAAAGAAGTCAATAATATTAATAATATTTTTGATATGAACAATTTTTGTCCTGAGTGCTCTAGGATAGGTAAGATAGCATAGCAAGAAAGATAAAAACACACTAAAGAAAACAGCAATCCCCACCTCCCCAAAAATAACCCCCAAACGCTAACAACATAATGCTGCATTTTCCCCTTGGTCCTAACAATCCTTTCATCACCCCAAAAGTTTGCTTATTTGCATTTATGGAGGATAGATACTGAACATTACAAGAAACATTTTATACAGCTATGCTGAAGATAATGAGGGTCCGAGGCCATGTCTTCTTACTGAGGTTGCATGGCCTTCCATTGTAAAACCAATTTTAATAATATATTTTAAATTAAAAGGATTTCAAGAGCTGTGCTAGCTATATACATTGCTGTGATTTGCGAAGTATGCCAGTGGGTTCTAGCACCATAGGAGTAGCAGGACAGAGAGATTTCCAATGACAAATATTTTTCTGGTCAGCAGCTTTTAAAAACTGTTTTTTACTTGTTTGTTTCAGTTGTACAAATCAGCATACTTGAGCAGAGGACTTAATGCCTAGGCTTAAAGTACTGTAAAGATGCTTTAAATTACATGTATCATCCCAATTAGATGAGGAGTCATAATCTTGTCATCCATCTTGCAAATCACATCTCCTGAGAGCAACTACTTGTCCTTTACAATTTTCTAGAGTATTTTGTTTAAACAAAATATTTGAGCATAGAACTAAGGATGGGCTGTGAAACCTACAGGGTAGACAATCATGTGTTGTTTTTAAAAATGAAACAGGAAGGGTTAAATGAACAATATCTGTGCCAGAAATTGCTATCAATAATGATGCCATTTTTAAGGCAGACTATGGATGTTCCTGTGTCATAGAATTCATTGAGACTTTGGCCTTTGAGTACAATGCCACAGGATCCAGTTTTACCTGTGAAATCCATCGCTCAACACTTTATGAAACACATTGCCTTTAAAGTCATGGTGGTACACAAGTCTATCTATTCAGACAGTCACAGTGATTGTTGCAAGAGGGAACTGGCTTCATTTTGCACCCACCATGAGTGTGCTCCCAGAATTCATGCTTATTGAATCATGCCTTTGGAATGCTATTTAGTGTATTCCAAATGTGATACATATTCATTGTGGAATATGCAATCTTAATTATGAATATATTCAGATATTTAGCATCTATAAGAATATTCAATGTTTAATATGGCAGCATTTCAAGCAAATCTGCATGAGTTTGCACTGCCTGTATTGACTCAGGTTACGTAGTGTGTATTCTTTGTCCTTCGTAAAAGATTAGGAACTATACTAGGGTACTTAGGAAATGTATTTGGTGAAAATGTCAATTTGTTTTTAGACGGTGGTCATGCAAAAGCAGATAGAAGCAGGAAAAAATATTATGACTCAGGCACCCACCTAATTATTTCCTATATTTCATTTAGTTATATTTCTTCATTGATGGTGATACAAGAAACCCTTATAAAGTTATAAGCTAGGGCCAAAATTGTCAAACTTGGGTGCCTATAGTCTTTATAAAGGAACCTGAGTAAGCAGCCCAATTTTCAGAGATGGTCACCAGCTTCAGCTCTCAATAAACTGGTTGCTCACCACCTTAAATTAGGTGCCCAAATATGGATTCAGGTGCCTAATTTTAGACAACCAATTTTAGATTCGTGATAGTGCTGGCTTTAAATTATTCTACAAGAAAGTCCCCAAATAACAGTAACACTATTGTAAACTGCTACATTTGGGACTGCAGAACCTGCTCTCTCTCTCTCTTATAAGGGGAAGTTATTCATAAGTTTCATTGTTTGAATACAGAAGGGTCAGGGGAACTGTGGTATACAGTCTTACACCAAAATTAATTTTTTTTCACTTTAAATAATGCTCAAGGGAAGATTTCCTACCTGTGAGGAGGCAACATTATATGAAATGAATTCTCTTAATGTGAAAAACCTTTATTCTAAAGCTATTGCAAGTGATGGCTACTAGTTTTTGTTGGGAGCAAGAGTATGGCACTGCTGAAAGTTGAATTGACTCTACACTGTAAACTCTCTAAGAATAGCTCCATCTCCAATTTAAAAAAAAAACAGTGGAGTGACAATATTTTAATTGGGAAATAATTGTGTTGCCAGAGTGCTGGAGGCATTGTTCTCAATACATTCTATGCTTCTAAAAGCTCCCAGCGTTACAGGTTGAAATTAAATTATACTCTCTAAAACCTCGGGGATTTACAGGTGAAATTTGGGGGGGAGGGTATAAAGTCATTGTTTATTCTGAGGACACGGACAATAGATAACAGAACATTTTCATTTTAATTGACAAAGACTGACAAACTGAAACAAAGGCTGAAATTAAAGAATAATTGTGACAAAGAAGAGGAAGAGAACTATCTGTGGCTGATGGGGAACACACTGGAACCTCTGTGGAAGAGAGACTGAATGGCAATAGACTGAGAAATCGGTGCAGCTCACCTCTGCCCAATCCTGTGGAAGTTGTTGCATAGAGAAATGCTGTAGTTCAATCTGCTACAACCAAGATAGACCAACACTGACTAAGATTACAACAGTGAACTAAGTTTGCCATGGAAGAAATTAATCAATAAATTGCAGCACAGCATGAGTTTGCAAAGACAAGTAAGCTGTTACCACAGCTGTTACTCCTAGAAATGACCTTTTTACAATTTGTCTGTGTTTTAAAATAGACTTCCAATTGCAATCTTATTTTTTCTTTCAAAAAGCATTGCCTTCAAAATCTTTGATCTATGCCTGGGACAAGTCAGAAAAGGTAAAGAGACGAAAGAGATCCAGCAGCACACACATTTTAAAGATGCTTAGGTTTGCTAAATGTATGTTAATAAATTTATGAGAGCTCACCAAAGACCCCCATTGAGCCACACAGTGTTTCACCGTCTGTCAAATACTTTTATCAAGGAGTCATGCCTTTCTACCAATTTAATGGATCATCGATGTAAGCAGAACACTTTTGGACTGAATTCATCTGCAATCTCAATATGTAATTCTCTAATTATGGCATACCCTTGCAGTCATTACGTTCCCTTCCCCCTGCCCCTCTCACCAAAAATAAGCATCTTCTTTGTGGAACAGGAGTTGCATTTCAGTTTTAAAAGGTCAGTGATTCCTGATTCAATTCAAAGCCCTACAATGTATGAATCTTATTACAATCACTGAGATTTTTTTTAATCACTAAGGCATACGTTCATTAAATTACTAAAATAGGATTTGTGAGGGGAAGATACTTTACAGTCATGAGGATAAAAATAAATTCAAGGGCATACATGGATTCGTGTTTGTGTTTCTAGTGATGGGTCTTGTTATATTTGATAAAACCCTTTCATAGAGACGTTAAACAAAGCTGCTTCTTATTTTTCTGAAGTTTCTCATATGAATTTATTTTTGATAAAAGGTGGCGTGTTGGCAGCCCTGGAGAGGGAAGTCCTGCGTTTATCCCCAGAACAGGAACAGCATGGGTAGCAGCAATTCAGCCCACCTCACAATAACCTGGAGAGTCCTCTTCTAAAGGGGACAGGGCTCAGTCTCCATGACTCATTCGATCCTTGGTGCCTCTGCTGAGATTACCAACAAAGATACCAATTAGGATCAACTATGGTGATTGTTGAAGTGATATGAAAACTGAAAAATGGGCGGAGAGCACCAAACCCATTTCACACAGGGCAATGAGTGGTCATCAGATAATAGCAGCTTTGAGTCACTACTGACCTGGGGTTGGTTTAGCACTAAAAGAAAGGTTTTTTATAGAGATGGCCTTGGCTATCCCAGTGGACTGATGGCGGCACAACACATTGCTGTGACGGTGAGTGGGCTTCCAGACTAACCTCCAGCCTTTTTACCTCATAGGCCAACACAATGGAGGAGACTATTACGAGTCCTCATGAAGTCCATATGAACTGCATGAAGCTGTGGTTTCCGATATGACTTCTTGTGGGGATGGTTTTGGATCATTGATTCTAATGACACTTTGGATTAGGTCCTTAAATTTAATAAAGGTCTACATTCAGAGCTGGTATGGAATTGCACCCATTTACCCCAAAGCTAAATTTGGCCCACACTGTTTTCAGGGGCTTGGTGGGAAGGGAAGGACTAGAATATTGTGGCAATAAAAAAGAAAACTGAAAATAGGGAGAAAAAGGGTAAAAAGACATCATTCAAGATAGAAATTTGAGAGAGAACTGCTTATAAGAAGATGAAGCCCACAGCCCACTTGCCAAGTCTGAAGAAGGGCGTGGGTAGATTAAGTGGTTTGTTTTATTTTAATACATAAAAAGCCCAATTCAGAGAACTGAAAAATGTTTGTCAAGACAGGAAACACTGTACATTAGAAACAGGAAAGCACACCACCACACAGAGTCCACAGAAACTGAAAGGTAAGAGCCTTTCAAAGATATCAGCTACAGGATATCACGATAGGAATACTCCTCAGAAAAACACAGACCAAGTGTTACTTGTGTTGTTGCAGTGGGTAACTTTTTAGGTGTAAAAGCAAATTTCCTCTCTCTAGCAATTCTTAAAATATGATCTTACACTTATATACCATTTTGTGCATTATACAATTACCCTTCCCACCCACCCCCAATACACTGTTAACATCTTTACCTACACATTAATTATCTGACCCACAATTAACTGTCTTCTATATGTAACAGTCTTTGGTAAAATGCTAAAAAAGTTTAGGATCTAAAAATCAAAGCAACGCTGTTATTATTTACATATTTGTTATAAAACAGTCAGTGATTTACTGATGAGTATCACTGTGCAACTTTTTCCCAGCTACCACATTAAAAACCAAACACCCAATTAATTGTAAAACATACTTGTTTTGGGGCATCTGCGGAGGTGGTGTGAACTTCAGTACCTCGGAGTCCATTAGACTCAAATACCACTGTGGGAACAAGGGGGCTTGTTAACAGATGAACATTCAAGCTTCGTTAGTGTGTGTACATTATTTGAGACCATTACAGATTAACCACATTCAAAAAAAGACACCAGCTACTAGCCTGTGGCCGGAAAATACCAATTTACTGTAACACTTACTGTAAGAGAGTGTGCTAATGGCAGCCTAGGGGCACTGCCCTTTTTAATTCAGACTTCGGTGCTGAAGAAAGCAATCACTGACAACATTAATTATCAGTGTATGTGTAGAGGGACCCTCTTCTTGCATTACTTACCATTTGGCCTCTGTCATTTTGCATCAGACTGGCTTATGTATGCATCATTCACACTTCTCAAAGAGAACTCGCTAGTCTCACTGTCTCATGTAATGCTTATGAGGTATCTTGACACTGGTAGCTTTAGCTGGCTACGTTCTCAATAGTAGATCATTCTAGGGTAAAAATGCTGACAGGGATTTTAGAGTTTATAACTGACCAGTCTGGGGAGGATCTGTTTTCATACAAAACTGTTCCAGTCAATAGCAATGATGAAAGAAAACAAAGCCTTATGTTCTGCTGAAAGGGGCTACTCTGATTTCAATTTGTGCTGGTGGCAACAGAATTCATTAGCATATTCATTTCTGAGTATCCTACTCTCTAATTAAAATAAAGCATTTGCAAACAGGCTTATCTCAAATGCATTGCAATTTTATGGTGTTGGGGCGGGGGGGAGAGTCAGGTATGGAACATGTGGAAAACAAGAGCAATACCAATCAAAACCAAAACCTAGGGTACTGCATATTGGAAAATATTTAAATTATTTAGGTTAGTACGGGAGGTAAAACTAAATTCAACATTCTGTTAGTTGGGTTAAAAAATAAAACAAAACAAAACAAAAAACTGGTGAGAAAAGATACCTGTGTGGGACCTCATATGAGTCCGGAAGTGACTGTGCTGGTTAAAGCATTTTCCACATTCTATGCAGACATAGTCTCCTTGGCGTGTTTGTGTCCTAAGCATCCCTGTGGTAGATAGGAGGGAGAAGAAAGGGAGGGGGAGCGGAAAGTTGAGAAGAAAACATTATGCCAGAAGAAAACATCATTAGTATGTCTAATGTGTCATTATGTGAGGCTACCTTCAGGCCCTGGATGACAACTGTCAGCCTTCATCTAGGCACTGGCTGACAGGCCAGGCACACACAGGACTGCAAGAATGCATAAATTACATTGAATTAAAAAATGCTCCCCATGATGTGCCCGCACCAGGACTGGCATGTCAGGTGTGCGCTTTTCAGAGCAGCTGGATCCACTTTTCAGCCATCACCCAGCTTTGTCAAGCAGTACATCAGGCAAATCAAAGTGACTCCAGCGTGGCGGAGACAAGTCACATGGATAATAGGAAGTGAGCAGAACCAGAGCCCGAATGTCCCCCCCGGGCTGCAATACCTTGGAGACAAATACAGAGTGAGTGGAGCCATCACAAACTGATCAAACCTTTAGCCCCTGCTTACCTGCCTGCCGGTGCTGCTTTGACCTCAGACCTCTGAGGCACAGACGAAAGACATCTGTGAATGAAAGTGTCATTCCGGACATTTTGAGCTAGTAGCAACACAGCAGCCTTCTACCAGCCCTTGGTAAACATGTTTTCTAGGCCATTAGCATTTGTGGAAAACTACTCAAACCTCTCCTTTTTTTCCAAAGGTCAGTTTACAGTATCTGACTTAAAGGGCTGGTCTTTGTCTTTTTGCTGCTGATCAAAAAAGACACATTTGACTTTTATTGGGCATTTCTTTAAAATGTTTGAACATCTTTTCTATTTTGGTAAGAAGCCCTCCTCAAAAGGAAAGAATTGATGTTTAATTTACCATTGGAATGCCTTGGCTTTTAAAGCAAATTCTCAAGGGTTCGTCAGTGACAGTTCAGCTCTTTTTTTTTTTTAATTGACCAATGCACAGAAAAAAAAGTAAAAATTCTAACAAAAAAGTGACAATTGTTTTAAAAAGCTAAATTACACTTTTAAATCGATTATAGCAAGAAACGGTGATATGTCCAAAATGTATACGGTTAGTGTGATGCCCACGAAAAAAAGGGCAAAGATAGGGACCACGCTGTCATTCTTTGTACAGCCTGGTTGAGGGCTCCAGTTTTACCATGTAAATGATAATAATTATAATTGGCTCATTATAAAATTAGTTCAAAAGACCTTCTGTACAAGTATTTCCTCTCTCTTCATTACAGCACCCCCGAATATGATCCTTTCCAACACATCGGTTCTAGGGAGAGAATACAGAACCACACTGGTTTAGCAAAGCCTAATCCTGCTCACCATTACTCATATGAAACTCCCAGAGAATCAGTAGTGGAAGTTCTGTGTGAGTAAAGATGAGCAGCATTAAGTTTTACGATTAGGATTAGGCAAAACTCCTACTGATTCCCTGGGAGTTTCATTTCAATAAAGTGAACAGGACTTTCCCCATGATCTATGAAAGATTAAAGCAGATTTTCTAGCAGCGGTCTAGCAGATTTTCTAGTTTCTGGCTAACAGACGATAAAAACCCTATTAACATCTGTCCCCAACAAGACAGAAGTAACTATGGCTGCAATCCGGAGACCAAAGCTAAAAGCAGTGCTTTAAGGGACCCTGATATGTTTTCTCATGAAATCAGTGCTGTTATCTCTAAACCATTCATTTTGGGACTAAGTCAAAATACATCTCATATAGAGGAAGGACAATCTCATGGTTAAGGCACTTGACTGGGACTCAGAAGACTTGGTTCAATTCCCAGTTTGGCCACTGACTTCTTATGTGGCTTTGAGGGAGATGTTAAATTTCTCAGTGTCCCAATCCTCCACCAGTAAAAAGGAGATAACTATACATCTTTTCTCCCAGCCTTTGCGTGTCTCCTCTAGTCAGACTGTAAGCTCTCTGGGACAGGAATTGGCTCTTCTGATGCCTAGGACAATCGGCCCCTGATCTTGGTCAGGGTCTCTCTAAGTGTTATTGTAAAATAACGAACAACAACTACAGTCACAGCAAGAAAGAACAATTTAGGTTTATTTTCTCATCAATCCATGCATGCCACTCATGTTAAAGTCAATGGGAGTCACTCATTAAGGTATGATACAGATGATCCTAATGGTCCTGTCCAGCCTTACAGACTATTATCCTGGCCACTTCAGAAACTAAGGCCTGATCCAAAGCCTTCTGAAAACAATGGAAAGACTCACGCTGATGTCAATGGGTTTTAATGCAGGACCTGAAGTTCTTTTGGCTAACCATTCTGGGCCCAATCTTAGGAGTCATGACTCAGTAAAAAGTCCCATTTCAATCAATCTATTGAGGAAATCAGGAATTTTGCCAGAGTAAGGACTGCAGGGTCAGATCTTCTATATTGTGCACTCACCATAGCTACTGACAACATTTATTTTGGTTCAATACTTCTTGCCACATCTTTGCTCCATACCTCTGCCTTAAAGTTTTAGCCAACCTCAGCACCAGAACAGCTAGGTCTTTTGTTTTGTTTTTTAAATGTGTCTAGCTGCATACAAATAATATTTAGCTAACCAGCTGTGGAAACCAGCCCAGATATTTTTAAATTTTAGTAAGGGGGGAAACATATCAGTTCATCTCATAATGAAGATCATATGTGAAAACATTTTAAATAATGGCTAACTGCTGTGTGCTAAGATTCTAGAGCTTAACATGCTTTAAGCACAAATAGTGATTTGCCTATTGAACATGACACTTCTAGAAGAGAGGGTCCATTGCAGTATTTTTTTCTTACACAGTGTGAACTCTGCCAGCTAGCTTACTGTACATGAATACGTAACCTAAAAATTCATTTAGCATCTCTACCCCTTCCGATTTGCTTTCTGGCTATTATTTAAAAAAACAAAACAAAACAAAACACAACAGATGGAAGAACCAGATTACTTCCACATATTTTTGTCATTGTTTGATTTCTTTAAGAGAGATATCATAAGCTTTTGGTATTTTAAGGCTTTGACTTGATGGACACCATTGTCACAACATACTACCTCTGTGAGATCATCTCTCAGGATAAACTATACTTGAATAAGAGGGGGACAGATGACCACAGGTGTTTGGAAAATAAGTGATGCAAATAAAAGTGACTATTTTCATGGAAGCTCCTGTGAAACCAGCACACAGAGCTGGTCTCACGGGAATCCCAGGGGAAAGGGTGCACCTGCTGCTGTAATATGTCCTCCCTAGTACCATGACAGTTGTAAATAACCCTATGAATAAAAAAGAAAAATCACCTCTACCAAACTTAAATAAAAAACAAAACTCTCCCTAAGCAGTAATCAAACTATCTAGTCCTTGATGTAAAAGCCCTGATGTCTAATACTAGTACCACAGGAGTACTTTCAACTCTTATCTCCAAAGAATCGAAGAAACACCAGACTACTAGCAGAAAACAGAACAGTGCACCAGTCTCATGTGAGCAGATACAGCCAATTTAAAATATAAAAGCAAAGGCTACAAACATGATCCAGCTACAAACATGCTCCAACACACACCAAAATGCCTGAAATGGAATATTCTATTGTGATCAAGGCTGATCTATTGCATGAGGTACTGTACTCAATATCCAGAATTTAGAGGCTTCGGAACAACCTATGTAATTGGCAGAACATCCCTAAATTCTTCATAATGGCAACACAATCTCTCTTGGCAAATTGAAGCCTTGTTTGTGTAATGCATAATAAAGACTCACTGGGATAATTCTGTCCTCGGTTGGGACTGACTGCATGTAATTGAGGGAAGAGTTGAGTTGGGCTTTGCTACGTCATTCTAACAGGTGGAATCCTGTCTCTTTCATGTGCAGCAGTTTTACCTTTAGTCCTCTGAAAAATATACAGTGCCATGCCAATTCATTGCAGGTCACTGGTAGTGGCACCAGTGACCTGCAAATTCTATATGGAATGAGCTTAAGAAAGCTGTTCAAAGGCCACATATAAGAAAACCAAGCCACAAAATTCTAAAACTTGGCCATTACAAACAGTTCTAGGTTAAGGAAGAGATTTCAAAGGCACAAATGAGAGCTAGGCAACCAACTCTCATTGAAAGTCAAAGTGCACCTAACTTCCATACGTGTCTTTGAAAATCTCCCCCTAAAGCAGCATTTACACAGTAAAATTCTACTTCAAAAAAAGTAGATCAGCAAGTAAATCCTTCCTATAGAATTCCTCTGCCTGGCTCTGCCCCAATATTTTTTGTGCATCTTCTGGTTTCTGCAGTTATTGATGTCAGGTTCATGGTGCTCCTCCTGTTCCTCTCCATCTTGGCTAGCATAGTTGGGAGAGAGCTCATTGTGTCAATCAGATCTATTCCAGGCAGGCTTACATGACTAAATAATGTCACCAGGAGGTAAGGTACCAAAGTTGCTAACATTGGCAGAACTGAACTAACATTAGCAGCAGTGGAAATTTTTTAGAAAATGTCCCTATGAGCAGAGAGGGCCAAATGAAAAATAGCCTGTAGTTAACCAACAAATTGAGCACAGATGACACACGAACAAGCTACTGTGACAATGTGTTCCTGGAAACGGGGAATGTCCCTGTTCCCCTCCTGCTTTACAAGAGCAGGTGCTTAGTGCTAGCTTTTGTAAACCTTTTTACACTCTGGGGCCAACTGAAGGAAACATCAACCAGTCAAGAAGAACACCACCACCACCCAGCTCTTATCTAGCACTTTTCATACATACATCTCAAAGTGTTTTATGACACTAGTAAGCAAAACAGACAACAGGCTGGTCAAGATGTGCATGTCTAGGACCATTTCTTGAGCAGACTCATGTTGCCATCCTGCCTCCCAAAAAACCTCCCAGCAAGCCTGTAACCCAGCAGTATGGGTCTTCTTTCCCTAGCCACACCATGACTGCTAAAATCATCATGCACACACCTTCCAGGCATTCCACCAAAACCGTCTCTATGCCGTCCTCTTCCCTAGCTACAACTGTCTGGGTTTTACATTTTTAAAATCTAGCAACTCTATCTTGACAAAACAGAAAGCATTACACTCCCCAGCGCCTTTCAGCTCTGTGAATGAAAATTTTGAGCTCCTATAGTAAAGATCTGACAAAAGGGGTTCTGTTTGAGTTACATTCATTATAGAAAGATTCATGTGGCACAGATCCTACTGAAAGAAAAGTGAAAAAAACAATCTTAAATTTATAAAAACGCTTGCTCCCAGGGGGTTTTTTCCCCCCCCAAGAGTAAATCTTCAGTTTCCACAGACGCAAAATCTGGCAGGAAGTCAGAGAGAGACGGTGGTGATTAGTTTCAAAACCAAAAAGGTGGTTTTTTTGGAGGGGTGGGGAAGGGTAGAGACAGATGGAAGGAAATTCACGGTACTTTTTTGAATGCTGCTTGTAAAACTACATTAAAACAAATTAGCCTCTGAACTTTAAATTGGCTATTTATACATATGCTTTTCCTGTCAAAGTAAATTGACAGATACATTTTTGTAAAATTAGACACATACAAACAGCCCAAGATAGTAATATTTTCCAAGTGACTGTCTACTTTTGAAAGATATGGACAATGAAGATCTTAGGATTCTTTGTTTAGAAAGATGTGTAAGTATGTCTGTCTGTTCCTGGAAAAACTATGTGTAGAGGAAACTGAACAAGATAGCCAAAATAGCATCAGGAATTAAGCCCTAGAGAATGTTTATTTTGCCCAAAGTGAAAAAGTTATGATCTGTGCCAGGACCAGCGGATCACTAGGATCTTAGTGTGACAGAACATCTGTGTAACTCTAGCCTACTTGAAACAGCAGGACAAAGGACTAGTAACACTCTACGAGGAAACAAATACATTTGACCTGTGACAGAAATGTCACACAGTGTGTGGGAGGGGAATCTACCATACTACTGTACCTGAGGAAATCTACTCAAACCCACTCAACATTGCTAATATTCTGAGTAACAGAGTTCTTATCAATTATGTCTACATGTACACTACGAGCGAGGGGTGTGATTCCCAACTTGTGTACACATTCTCGTGATAGCTAGCACAAGTATAAACAGTAGTGCAGCTGCAGTGCAGTGGCAGCACCATGCTAGCTACTCCAGTACAAACCTGCCTGAACCACCGGGGCATGTAATCAGGCCCGCTAGCATGTACCACCACTGCCACTGCCTGTGCTACAGCAGCTACACTACTATTTTTAACATGCTTGCTCAGAGGAGAGCTAGCATCACAACCCTAAGCTCATAGCGTAGACGTAGCCTGAAGGACAAGTAGAAGGACAAAATGGGAAAACAATATAATTAACCAAAACAAAAAGCATGTAGACGCCTTACCTGCATGATCCAGCACAGGGCTATTGGCACCCCAGGTTTGGTACAACGAAGCAAGGTCCTTTGGAATGTAGGTCTTAAAAAAAATGTCCAAACGTTTCTCGTGCCCCTCTGATGCTGGTTCTTGTTTGATGGAGTGTAAAGCTGGAGAAGCTCCTGCTGTGCTAGGCTGAGGCTGCATTAGTGGACTCGCTCTTGTTCCTGTTGTGCAGTTTGCCAATGTCCTCATCTCATTCCCAGCCTTGGTGTGAGATTCCCATTGAGGCACTGACTGATCTTCATGTTTAGTGTACTGCTCAGTTTTACACAGAGGGTGATACTGAGGCGGTGGGTTGAATTTGGCTTTTGTTGGGTCAGATGCACAGTGCTTACTTGAAGGGTGAAAACCAGCACTTCCTTGGGGAATCATATACTTCTCTACCTGTTTACTGTTGGCAGGCTGTGAGGTGGGCCTTGATACGACTGTCTGGGTGGGTGTTAGGCTTCTGCTAAAGCTTCCCGCTTGCATCAGTTTGGAGTTTACTTCATATTTAGCTTTAAGCTGAGGTTGTTGTGCTGCTATGCTGTGCTGCTCCTGGGTATGGTTTGATTTGGGCTGCCTGTACCCATCAAGACCTGACGACCGTGAACCACAGTGGCCAAACGAATGGCTGTCCTTAGACTGATGCATACTACCAGGCTTTGTAGTCATCCCAACAGGGGAAGAATTGCTTTTGGATCCTGGCAACGCACTTGGAACTTGAGTGCGTGTAAACCTGGCAACAGGCAAAGGTGGGCATTCTTTACCACCAAGGGATGGAGGAGGACCAGTGCGTCCACTTCTTGCCAGAAAAACCAAGTTGTTTTTTATACTCTTGAATCCATTTTGTTGAATCCATGGCGGAGCCATCGAGTTACAGCTGACTTTGTGCCAAATTTTTTTGTGCATCCACAGGACTTCAGGGTAATAGGTCTTATGATTGCAGTAAGGACATGGGTGGACAATCAAATCAGCCTGCAAAGATGAGGTAAAACCCTTATGGCATGAATCAGCCCTCGTTGATTTTTCACTTAAATCTAGTGGAACCATTTCTTGTGCCTCTCTCCCTTTTTCGAGAACAGGGTGCTCCCTGCACAAGTCTGAGAAATTTTCTTTAGGGTGACCAGCCTGCTTTTCCAATGAGGTTTTCAAGTCTACTACCGCATCTAAAGATGTCTGGCCCACTCCTGAAGCAAAGTCAGCAGTACTACTGGAGCAAGGAAGCTCTTGTCTAGGTTGAAATGCTGGCATCTTTAAGTCTGAAGAATTTCTCTGAGCTTCATACTTTGAAAAAGGCCGTTTGATATTGTTTTCCAGGGTAGATACCAAAGTTGATAGCTCTGGTTTAGATTCATTGACATCTTTTTCTCTGGCATTGTCACTTCCAAATTTAGGAAGCTCTTCTACCTGAGATGTTACCATTGCCCCCTCTTCGGAAAAACTGCAGTGGTATGGCTTTTTACCTGAACAGGACAATCAAAAAACAAAAATTACCAACTTATGTCAAAACCAAGAAATCAAATTCAAGATTAAAATAAGATACACAGACACAGAGAGACAGAGAAAGATGGGGGAGCAGGGGGAAGCAAACTTGAGGCAGTTATTCTGTTATTAAGTGTCCTATAAACTAAATGTATTATAAAACCAAGAAAATCATTGTAATAAGACACAATAGCTCAATTTACTTTGAAAGCATCACTCTGAAGTTTGGATAAACTATCTAATGATGCATGTTCATGACATTTTAAAAGGAAGAACAATTTGATAATCCAAACTTGTTAAAATTCAGAGAGTGAGAGAAAGATAAACAAATATGCAGCCATTTAATGCTTTAACAAAAATAAAGATAATGGAGCCAGATAAGACTGAACTAGTTAAAGGTCTGTCACTGTTTCCATTACAAGCCTCTATTTTCAAAGGGTTTATAACTCAGCCATAAAAATCGGCTCCACACTGAAACCTAGCATATAAAGGTCTTATATAAGTACTGCAGCACATAGGGCATATACCATAAATCCTTCTCTTAACAGAGACCTTTGCAATACCCAGGTATAATGGGATGAGGTAAAGACAGCCTACATTCTGAATTTCCTGGGTTTTGTCAGTTTAAAAGCAAATGCAACTTTATTTTAACATAGTTTTATGTTTGTGTTGAATTTTAGGTATGCTTGTGACTGCTGAATTTGCTGATCGGTATGGATGCCTAAAATACCTAACTAAAACAAGATTTTCAATTTTCTGTTTTCTCTTTCCTTTTTTCCATTCTTCCTCCCATCCTCAGACATGCAACGAAAGTAATATTTTATCTAAGATATAGTTCAGAAATGGAACATAGTTGGTAGATTTTATAGAAGTTCAGGGGGAAAACAGCATGATTAGATTACTTAGAATGTTCCTAAACTCCAATAGTTCTCAAAATGCTTATCTTTAAGAGCTACTGATAAAGTCTTTGAATCCCTCCAAATCAGTTCACAATCAATTCCACAGAGGTTTTCATCACAGCAGTAATGCTTACTTCACTGAATCCATTTAACATGTAACAGAATTGAGTCATCTGACAAACTTTCAGTTTCAATTAACATGGAGTTAATGAGCCACTGTTAGGCAAGTGTAAGGGGACCATGTTCCATCTAAAATGTCAACAATCCAAAGTGATCACCATAACTGGGGGAGTAGTGAAGATGGGGAATGAGTGAGCTATTCTATAGTTGCATATCCTCTCACATCAACTCATAAAAGCCAATGTTTTAGAAAATCAAGCACTGTTTAATATAACATTGGCGCCATAGGCATTATTCTAAACTTGCACAATGTAAAAAGTATGTTTTAGGCTGAAGTTTCATTGCAAATAAAGTCTATTTAGCCTCAACTTTAATTCAGGCAAAAAGTCTTAAGCTTTTGTTAATTCAGTGTAATTAGGTTAAAAATAACCCATAGATTTGCAATCTTATAAAGGTTGAATGCTCACTCTGTTAAGATCATTTTTCTTTCAAATTCTCAAAGGGATAAAGTCTGCAAAAAACTTGTTTTTCCTGTGTTATAGGGAAGGAAGGCCTTCTGAAAGCACATGAACAACACAACCAGCTAAATGTATAATTTGAAACAAAGACACTGCTGCAGGAATGTAATTTGACACTGCACATCTGTGTTATTTTCAAAGCACATCTGTTAAATATTTGTGAACTAGATCTTAGGCTTCCAAATGGTGAAGTCCTTTGACCAACATGCTAAATAATAAATGAAAGTAAATAATAAAACATTCAATTGTAGCGATAAACAATAGAGACTGCACCAGCCTAATGGCCAGGTTGAACGCAACATACAGTAAGTAAGGGGTTCAAGACAGACTGTGGAACTGTTGCTCAATGGGACTGTGGAGTTGGGAAACACTGGCTGCCACTGAATCTGAAATGGATTAGGATGCTAAATGGACACATGGGGTAGAAGCCCATTACTACTCTGAAGCTCTGTGCTTGTCTGATACTTCTTGGACTTGATCTCACCTTGGCACAAGTTGTACACCTGGTTATGCCAGCAAAGGTTATGGAGTTGAACTAGCATTGGAGTAGTGATATACTCAATGTAGGATTCGACTTGGGAAAGCACAGGGAGCCTGGGAACAAGGGGAAAAGGTAGCTCTTCCAAACCACCTAACAACAAATGGTACAGATTCAGGGATGGGAGCTCTGGTATAGGCTGTTGATCTTTCTATCCACACTAGTGCAGCTTAGCTACCAGGGAAAGAGGATTGTCTGGGTGAGAAATGCAGTGCAGAATGAAGAAATACATTAAATCATTTATACACTAACTAATGCACAGTTAAGTCAGCACCTCGGGTAGGAAGTGTTCTTTGGCATACAGAATGGTACACCAGGAGGTAAAGAGAAGACTCCGAGGGGCTGATCCTCAGCTGCTGTAAAGGGTCATAGCTCCAAAACACCACTGAAGAGCTTCTCCTAAACATTCCAATTATTCATATTTTCACTAAAAGAATCCCACTAACTCATAAGATGTCTCTAAAATCCTGCAAACTAGGTCAGCTCAGCTTGACCCACAGTTCAGTGCCCACCAGCCTTTGAATAGAAGCCCATTCAGAAGAAGGCACTTTGCTTGACATGAAAATTTCAGTACTCCAGGAAGCCACTCTTGCCATCAATCACTGGCAATCAGAGCAGACCTGCTTATTCGGCATTGTCATGGGAGAGGCGATCAGGAAAGTGCACAGGCGAGGAGCAAAAAGACCACAAAAGGCGATACAGAAAAAGAAAAGGTGTTTATAAGAGAGAGAACCAGAAAGGAGGAGTCTGATTATTTTTTAAGCCTGAAAATAAAGTATAACTATGAAAAATCCAGGACAAAGCTTATTTTTAGGACCCTAGTAACTGGCATATCGCATCATAGCTGTGGCTCATCTGATCCAGAATCCTTTCTCTGGCATTGACTGGTAAAAGCAGCTTAAGAAGATGATGCAAAAACAAAACAAAAATAACAATAAAACCCATAATGGACGATTACAGAATACTCTACCCATTGGTGAAATTTCTTTCTGATTCCAGGCAGCTAGTGATTGGTCTGTGCCTGGAAGCAGGAAGGTTCATATCACTCATCCATTTAAATACTAACTAATAAAACTGTGAATGTTACTATTCATATAACTGTCAATCTTTTTAAAATGCTACTTTGTCTTGGCCTCAATACTATGTTGTAGCAATGAGTTCCAGAGGTTTATTATGCAGAGGTAAAACAAGGCATGCCAGCCCACACTGCTTTATAACGTATGATCCTTTGCAAGATGATTACAAAGCATAGTATTTAACTGGTCTTTGTAGCTTCTTTTTGGATACAATTTAACTGAGATTCAACATCACATAAGGGATGTCCTCAATATGCAGGATGGATGGATACGTTAGGCAAAATACCAGCAGTAACTTTAACAGGTTGGCTCAGGAGCATTTCCATAAGCCAAAATCTATGCCATATATAGACAATGTTTTGCCACTATTCACATGCATGTCCAAGAGATACTTCAGGTCAGTGCAAAGCAAAACACAGCTGTGACACTGTTCTAATCCCCAGACTACTTCTCACTGGCTCTTCGGCTACTAACATTCAGATTAAACTGCAACCCTGCAAACACACGTAACCAATCAGAAGTGAGTCATGGCCTATTCTTCCTCTGTACATAGGTATATAGAAGACAGTATTTGATCTAGTAACAGCTGTAAAACAAAAATTTAATATTTTTGCCTGGTCCCCAGCCCCCCTACCCCAACTGAAACAGGGTACTATTTCCTTAAATCACTGGTTAAAATATTGCTTTAGTCAGTGCAACGCAGGCATAACTGTTACAAGAAATGTTTGTATTCTGCTCCCTACCAAACCAATATTCAGAACGGGTTGTACATCTGTTTTAACTCACAGGGTTTCTTGTAAAATGAGGGAAAGCCTCCGAAACCAGGCTAAAAAATCTGAAGATAATGGAACCACGATCAATATGAAGCACGTGTTTCTAAAGAACCGAACTAGTTAGATAAAATTGACTGCTTTTTCAGATAGCATTTCAAAATTTGGGGATGAAGGAAAAGAGGTAAATGTAATGTATTTAGATTTCAGTAAAGCATTTGATACAGAGTCTCACTTGGATATGAACACTATCACATAATTTGAAATTTGGCTGAAGACAAATGATAATGATAAAAGGCCAAGTATCTAGTTTTGAGAAAGTATCTAGATGTGATACTGTAAAGAGCTGTATAAGGTCCTATTTCATTCAATATTTTCATTAATTATCCAGAAGTGACACTAAACAACATGTTAAATTAAAATTTCAGGTTAAATCTTTTTTTTTTCCAATAGATTCTTAGTTTCAAAAGCCAGAAGGGACCACTGTGATCATCTAGTCTGACCTGCTCTATAACACAGGCCATAGAACTTCACCATATTAATTCCTAGAGTCGATCTTTTAGGAAAACATCCAATATTGGGTTTTAAAACTGGCAGTGATGGAGAATCCATCACAACCCTCAGTAAATTGTTTTAAAATTTGGAGTTGCAAAAACCAATGCAAACAGGGAAAAAATGCAATGGACTGAGAGAGAATAAAAACATGGGCTGAAATTAATAAAATGAGATTCAGCTCAGAAAAAATGCAATCTAAGACATGCAAGGGGAAATTACCCAAAAATCAGATGGCCAGTGGAAGGGACAAATCTGGAAAGCACTGATCCCGAAAAAGATAGATGTAATAGTGGACCCCAAATTAGACATGAGTTTGCAATACACATTTCTTCAGCCTAGCTTTCACAAATAACAGCATCTGATAACAACCACAAAATATATATTCCCCCTAGGCAGAAGGTGCTGCATGAGACACATTAGTAATGTTGCTTAACGCATCACCCCAATGTTTAGATATCATGGTGATGGGCACATTATAATCCCCTAAATAGAATATAATAGAATG